CCCCTTGGCCTTTACTGCCCGCCGGCCGGCCGGGCGACCAGGGCACACGTGGGCTCGGCCCGCTGCCAGCCCCTCTGCCGAGCGCTGCGGGCCACTGCCCTGCCCACCCGCCCGGCGCCCAGGGTGCAGGCGGGCACCAGGACAGCTCGGCTTCCCAGCGCAGGCCCCACCTGGCTGCAGAACAGCCTTCTGGCATGGGGCGCCCGGAGAGGGGCAGGCAGAGCCGTGGCGCCCTCGCCACCCCAGACGCCTGGGACCCTGAACCTCTTGCGTCAAACAGAGGAGACCCCCGCAGTGGGGCCACAGCCCAGGGGCCCAGTCCTCCGCACCCCCACAGCTGGAAGCCTGTGTCCCTTTCGAAAGAGGTGCTCTGGGAAGGGGGTGCTGGAGGAACAGTACCAGAGGTAAACAGGGGCTCCCCCTCCTCCGGAGGCCCCCCCAGCCTAACCTCCTGCAGGGGAGCCAGCTGGACTGGGGCTCGAAGGCCCACTGCCCACCCTGCTCCTGGGCAGGCGGCTCTGCTGGGGACTCTGGTGCGGGTCCTTTTGCTGGGGGCCCCTGCCGAGACCCCTGAGGGGCATGGACTGGACCGGCCAGAGCCCTCGCTCCCCCCATAGGCCGGGTGACGTTTCTCGTGGGGACCGTGGGCCCCGGGTAAACTCTGATCACTGGGTCCCGATGCGGCCCTGGGTGGGGTCCTGACTGGCCAGGACCCGGCCAGGCGCTGCCCTCCCAGGCCGACCCAGCAGCCCCTACCCCCTCCCCTGCTGCAGAGGATCAGGGGTGAACACTCTGGGCGGGGGGCTCCGGCACGGGCCCCGCTAAGAGCCCCGGTCCTGAAGCCACCTTGAGCCTGGCTGGACACCCTCAGGCCCTGCCACAGCCGGTGGGCCCCAGGCCTGCCGCTCTGACCTGTGCCTGCCACCTGGCACCTTCCTCCCAGCCACAGGCAAAACGCTCCAGGAAAGAGAACCCCGCAAGTGCCCGGGCTCCAGAGGGCAGCCAGTCTCGCGCGCCCAGGGTCCACACCCCTGGACGGGCATGCCGGGCCACGGGCCACGGGCCAGACACGGGTCCCAGCCAGGAGGACGCTCCCCAGAGGATGGAGCTGCTGGGGGCAGGGAGCAGCCCCCCCACCTGCAGGCCCACCCCGCTGGGCAGGGCAGGTACCCGGCTCCAGAAGCTACCCGAGGCCCCGCCAGGAAGGCGGGAAGCGGCCACATCAGTGCCCGTGCCTGTGGCCCTCACTGGGCCAGCAGGCCGCCGGCCTGAGACCGGCCCTGGGGCAGCAGCCCCTGTCTGGGCGGGCGCCCACCCGGGG